TGCCTAAGGCCTCAAATTTCCTAAATCCGCCCCTGCTGAGCAGCACTGGGATTGTTAATACTGTTGGTTTTATATACGGAGAAACTTATCTTATTCCTCCATTTTATTTTACACTGTAGGGGAAGGGTGTAATGTTACTGTGTGGGATGTGATTTTACTTGTTATATTCTATATACATCTTATTTTTCTTCTTCTGTAAACGGTTGCACTGAAAATTATTTCCTGTAAGTGATTAATAAGGTAATTGTTTCTGACTCAACATTTTGAACCCAAAACATTTTTATTCAGTTTTAATTAAAAGATAAATCTGCATACTGTAAAATTATTCTATGAAATCCATTCTTCATAACCCAGATCCAGTTTATTTCCAGTGTGCCTTCGATTGTGAAAATAACTAACTTACAACTCTTTATAAACAATAAAGGGTTTTTACATTGAAAAGACTTTTAACTTTTTTAGATGTTTTATCAGAAACTTCAGCAGAATGTTTCCAACCATTTCCTTATTCACCACCACACAGAAACCCAGTTAACGAAACAATATCTTTATCTTTTTAATTAACCAAAACAACAATTTGGAAATCGTTTAGGAAAATATCCTCCAAGCTTAAAGCACAAATTATACTAAATTATCCCTTATTGTCCCTTTATATCATTAGGCATTATTTTCATGTTCATCATTGAAAATTGGAAGATGTAACAAAAGATTGCAGAAATAGTAACTTTGCAAGTTTTCCTTTAAACACAATAAAGAGGGCGACTGATCCTGTTTCAAAGTGGCCAGCAGGAAGACGGCGGGTCCATTTTACATATATAGCCCGCCTCGCGAGGAAAAGTCACCGGCTGTCCTGAAATGTTAAGATGTGAAGCATTAAAATATGAGATAAATTCATTTTCAGAACTTTATTGTTTATTCTGCATGTTGCTGCATGTTTGTTACCTGCTGTTAGAGGGATTTTAGCTCCTGATGCCTTCAGGACAACCTGCAGCTGACGGGGGTTAGCGTTTCCAGCTCTGCCAGTCTGCTGCCTGAGTATTATGCAGACGTCATCTTTCCTGAGCAGCCAGTCCATCTGATTGCCCAGATAGTTAATGCCGCGGAGACACAGTTCTGAAATGTCGTCCGGAAGCAGCGGGGAAAAGATCAAGCGTTCCTTCTGAACCCTAAACACAGCGAGTAAATCTGGTAAAACGCTGACAGGAGATGAATCATCTGTATAGTGGAAATGATGGGAGGACAAATGACCGACCTGAAACCGGTGTAGCCAAACAGCACCGCCTGCAGGAATCCTCCCATACCTGTGAGAAAGTTCACGGCTCCAGAGCCGTCCGATGATTCGCTCCATACCTACGGGGAGAGGAGATGAAGCCGTCGCTGAATTACTGCTGCTGCAACGAGGG